TAGGAGACTGTCTCTCTCCAAAGTTGTATTTCTCTCCCTTATGATTACAAGGCTTGCTGATTGCACATGGGAATTTGCAAAGGAGCGTTCAACAGTGGTCATGTGCTATTGTGCAGATCTCTCCCTGAGGTTCACCCCATCCTTGCTACTTGAACAGACTCTAATTGACCAACACAAGGACCTGGTCTTCCAGGTTTTCCCCAATATGCATAAGAATAACTTACAAACCCAAGGGACATGGGCTCACAGTCCAAAATACCTAGATATCAGCAAAAAAACACTATGAAAGAAAGTCAGCAGTACTTGCACATATATAATAACATTATCATCTACATTACCATTCGTAATACACAGCACACCATGATTCTAAAGATAAATTATGAGAAGAGATGAACCTAATAATTTTAAATAAGCTTAATCAATAAAGAGTCAAATGAGGCCAGGCGCAGTGGATCACACCTGTAATCCCAACACTTTGGGAGGCCAAGGTGGGCAGATTACCTGAGGTCCGGAGTTTGAGACCAGCCTGGCCAATACGGCAAAACTCCATCTCTACTAAAAAAACGAAAAGCAGCCACACGTGGTGGCACGCAGCTGTAATCCCAACTACTCTGGAGGCTAAGGCAGGAGAACTGCTTGAACCTGGGAGGTGGCGGTTGCAGTGAGCCGAGATCGTGCCACTGCACTACAGCTGGGCGACAGAGTGAAACTCCATCTCAATAAATAAATAAATAAAGAGTGAAATGAAAATACTAGGTATAAAAAATAATCGCTGAAATAAAAAGCAATAGATCCTTAAGCAGGATTAACTCTACCAAAGAATTAACTGATGAGAGTAAGATCAGAATTAGAAAGTATCATAGTAATAAAGAATACGAAGAAAACACAAAGAGATAGAAGACATAGCATAAGACCTAAGAGGTAGAAGGGAGAGATCTTTTCAAAGAAATAATGATTGTAAATACACTGCTCAGAACTAAATTTAAAAACTCAAATTTAAAGGGCTCAAAATAATGCCAAAATGTCCATTAACTAGAGACATTATAGTGATATTTACATATATAAAAATCAAAGAGATGATGTTCAAAACTGCTCATCTCCTTCATACTTGAAAATCAAGTGGGGTCACATTTTTTTCTAATGTTTATTTTGTATTAATAGATGTGGCGCCAATTCCTTCTGGCAATGGATATTAAGGTAAAGAAACCTAAAGGTATTTAGTATTTTTTCTCACATTAGTGACTTAATTTTCTACTGTTTTTTCTTTAGGGTAGGGGAATGGGGAGAGGATGGTGGTGGTTTACAATATGGACACTCAAGGGATTCTAGAGCCTCAAGGACTCCCAGGGATCTGTCCACCACACTTGGCCAGTTGCCGTTGTAAAAACCTCAACTGTGCCTGAAGTCTCCCAATCCAGACAGTGTTGTATTCTCTCCAGAAAATAACCTAATGTCTTCTGCTGAGTTGTAGAAGAGACAATCTCATGCTTCACAAAATGGGGGAGAAGATATAAAGATTTTGTCATATTTTTGTTATTTTATTATTTTTAAAAAGTTGTATTATGGGATATTTCAAATATCTACAAAATTACAAGGAAGAGTATAATAAATATCCTTGTACCCAGCACTCCAATTAAACATCTACCTGCTTCTTAAATACGACTTCTAACAATTTATGTGTTGAAGGGCCACTTATCACTCCTCTTCCAGAGATGCCTGGAGCCTCTGGAGGTCCCATGATGTAATTAGTCTTGCTTCTCAGGTTTCTTCACTGCTGATTTAGGGTTATGCTTTCTTGAGCCTGCTGGATGAATTTCAACAAATCCATTGCCTTTCCAACTCCAAAAACTGCATTGCTCTCTCATTGTCTTTGTCCATCAGGGCTTATGCCTTTTTCTTTACCCTATTCCTATCATTTCCATGGAAGGGAATGGAGAACCAAAAAATTTTCACCTCTTCATCAAACAAATGTGTTAATTTTTTCTTTTTTTGGATCCACTGCCCAAGCTGGCATCCAGTAGCACAATCACACCTCACTGCAACCTTGACCTAATGGGCTCAAGTAATCCTCCTGCCTCAGTCTCCCAAGTAACTGGGACTACAAGCACACCCCACCGGGCCTAGCTAATTTTTTTTTTTTTTCCAGGGACATGGTCTCGCCATGTTACTCTGGATGGTCTTGAATTCCTGGGCTCAATCGATCTGAACACCTCAGCCTCCCAAAGTGCTCGGACCTTCTTAAACTGAGTCCTTCTTTTTTCATTTGTATGTCTCTCTTGATTGTCATTCTTGTATGTTTCATTTTTGAACATAATATTAACAATGATCTGTGGGCTTATTATTGTGTAACTTAATTTATGTATATTAATATAATATTTCCAACAACTTACATTATATTGTACTACTGTTATTCTGTTCCACAAATAAGAACAATTAACATCTGAAGAGCTTACACGACACCCAAGCTATTAAGGACTTGGGATTTGAACCCACAACTGTCTGACCCTGAAGTCCAGGTTCCACACAACTGTGCATACCACTTCTCATTTCTTTTCCAATGTGAGGTAGGCCTTAGTGCCTGTCTAAGGGTACAAGGTAACACACTCTAAGATGTATGTGTGATATGCCTGGGTAATGACTCTTGTTCAAATTCCACAGCTTTAAATTCAAGAAAGTACTTGGACCAAGCCAGGCTGGCCTGGGGAGGTTGTGAATGGTAAATGAGACAGAGCTCATACCTGGGATACAACACTGGACCATTCTATGAGGTCATATTACACACAGATGCTCCTTGACTTAAAATGAGGTTTTGTCCCAATAAACCCATCATTAAGTTTCAAATATCATTAATTTAAAAATGCATTTAGGCCGGGCGCGGTGGCTCAAGCCTGTAATCTCAGCACTTTGGGAGGCCGAGACGGGCGGATCACGAGGTCAGGAGATCGAGACCATCTTGGCTAACACAGTGAAACCCCGTCTCTACTAAAAAAATACAAAAAACTAGCCGGGCGAGGTGGCGGGCGCCTGTAATCCTAGCTACTCGGGAGGCTGAGGCAGGAGAATGGCGTGAACCCGGGAGGCGGAGCTTGCAGTGAGCTGAGATCTGGCCACTGCACTCCCGCCTGGGTGACAGAGAGAGACTGCGCCTCAAAAAAAAAAAAAAAAAAAAAAAAATGCATTTAATACACCTAACCTACCAAACATCATAGCTTAGCCTGGCCTATCTTAAATACGCACAGAACATTTACATTAGCGTACAGATGGGCAGAATCACCTAACACAAAGCCTATTTTACAATGAAGTATAGGGTATTTCATGTAATTTACTGAACACTGTATTGAAAGTGAAGAACAGAATGAATGCACCGATAGATGGTCCCCAACTTACAATGGCATGACTGACACGACTTTGACTTCATGACAGTGCGAAAGCAATATGCATCACTTTAAGTACCCATGCAACCATTTGGGGACATAAGCCCATAGTAAATTGAGGAGCATCTGGTATTCTACTAAATGCATCTTACCTTTCCACCAACATAAAGTCAAAAAATTATAAGTCAAACCATCGTTAAGTAGGGGACGATTTGTATCAGTAACAAGACCGATGCGATGCACTGGCCGTGGACATGAGGAGCTCTGATCCACGTGCAGAGTAACCTTCCAGCAGAACTGTTCCAGGCTTATGGATCTTAGGATGTAAGGCACGTTCCTAAAGAGCTGAAGACAGTCACTTCCTCAGACCTAGACTCCACGGCCACATATAATCAATGAACAGTCTCTTTGGGGGATCCTCTGTCTCACCCTGACCAGTGTCATGGGTCTCTCTGCTGTGTAGCCTGACTGTGGTGACCTCCTTCTGAATTATTTCAGTAAGGAACATTTTGGGCTTACCCATGTGACGTCTATGTCTGGTTCCTGAGTCAATATGATCTATTAAGAACACTGGTCAGAGTGGTCACACTACTCCAATCTCCCTCTTTGATTTCCTTCACATGAGCATTATTTTCAGAAAAACAATCAAGTCTTTATTTAAAAAAATGAAACAAACAAACAAAAAAGACAGAAAAGAAATGGCCAGGTGTGGTTACTCACGACTGTAATCCCAGCACTTTGGGAGGCCAATGGGGGCAGATCGCTTGAGCCCAGGAGTTCAAGACCAGCCTGGTCAACATGGCAAAACCCTGTCTCTACTAAAAGTATAAAAATTAATCGGATGCTGTGGCATGCACCTGTACTACCAGCTACTTGGGAGGCTTAGCCACAACAATCACTTGAGCCTGGGAGGCGGAGGTTGCAGTGAGCCAAGATTAAGCCACTGTACTCTAGCCTGGGCAACAGAGCAAGACCCTGTCTCAAAGGAAAAAAAAAAGAAAAGAGATTATCTCTGAACTGAAAGTCAATGGAAAAAAAAAGAAGAAGAGGAAAGATTTATAAAGGCTTCTGAGGGTTAAAAAATAATAAATAAGGCTAGGTGCAGGGGCTCACGCCTGTAATCCCAGCACTTCCGGAGGCCAAGGAGGGTGGATCACAAGGTGAAGAGTTCGAGACCAGGCTGGCCAACAGGGTGAAACCCTGTGTCTACTAAAAATACAAAAACTAGCTGGGCATGGTGGCAGGCACTTGTAATCCCAGCTACTCAGGAGGCTGAGGCAGGAGGATCATTTGAACCCAGGAGGCGGAGGTTGCAGTGAGCCGAGGTTACACCGTTGCACTCCAGCCTGGGTGACAGGGCAAGACTCCATCTCAAAAAACAAAAATAAAAAAACAAAAAATAATAATAACAAATAAAAAGCAGCATCAAACACTCTATAGAGTCAAATTCCTCACAGACTTCAAGGGTCTGTCCATGGACACACATAAATCTGTATGGAGTAGGAAGGTAAAGTTTTTCTTTTGATTCTGTAACACCTTTCTACACCGTGCACATCCGGGAAGCATGAGGACATGGAAATTGAGAAGACAGGTTCTAAGATGTCAAGAACAGGTTTAATGACTCACTGTGGACTGTGTTTGCGCCATATATTCACTCTCCATTTTATTCAGACGCACATTTGTATCCTCAAGCAATTCTTGAATGTTTTCAGTGTGTCGCTTTTGAAGATCAAACTTTTCCTGTTCCATTTCTGCTACAGCATTGTGAAGCTACATCAGGAAATCAAGAGTTAACTCTTTTACTACTATGGAATTGACTATTTTGTAATTCAGGGGAAAAATTGTTTCCTATATTCCTCTATTTATATATATGATGACCTGAACACCAAAAGATATTAAAAACCACCAATACACATTCAAGGTAAAGATATCATATAAAAAGCAGGATAAGAAATACTTAATTTTTCCTTTACTTTCCTGAATTGAAAATTTTAATGGATTAACCAATATTAAAAGGAATTATCTGCCTCAGGTAGAAATGGTAAATAAACCAGGCAGATAACACAAGTAAACAATACTAGAATTAGTCTGAAATGAGAAAATAGAAACATTATAATATTGTTACTTATTAGGAATATTATCTCACTGACCCCATTATTCATCCTATTTGCATGGAATTTTGTACAACAGTAATGTTAAAAACTGCTTTCTCTCCTACCCACACCTCAAACAAGAAATTACTTCTAGTCATTCCCTATTCTATACAAAAACAGATAAAAAGATCACAGTTATCAACCAAACAGAGTATGGGTAGGGTGACTAAGCAGAATTGTATACTATATGTACAGAGGTCTTTACTTATTTTTAAAAATCATTATGTATACACTGTTTAAATGGATGAGGCTTTAAAATTTTTACACAAACTAAGGTAAGGAAAATAAAGGCAAATACAGGAGGTCCAGACAAGCTTCAATGGACAACTTCCAAAAGGGGTTGAAAATCTGTGCTCCCAGCCTTGTGGGCCTTTCCTCATTTATCTTAATGGGGGTACAATTCCGAGTCTAACTTCCATTCCCTGCATCAACCCCACACCTACCCAACAGGTGAAGAGAACAGGAGTCCAAACAGTCCAAATGATATATTTGGCTTTTTGTTTTTGTTTTTGTTTTGAGATGGAGTCTCACTGTCACCCGGGCTGGAGTGTAGTGGTGCAAACTTGGCTCAGTGCAACCTCCGCCCCCAGGTTCACTTGATTCTCCTGCCTCAGCCTCCCAAGTAGCTGGGATCAAAGGTAGCCACCACAACACCTGGCTAATTTTTTTATATTTTTAGTAGAGTTGGGGTTTCATCAGGTTGGTCAGCCTGGTCTTGAACTCCTAGCCTCAAGTGATCCACCCACCTCAGCCTCCCAAAATGCTAGGATTACAGGTGTGAGTCACCATGCCTGGCCCCAAATGATATATTTGATTCACTACCTATAAATAGGGAAGAGAGAAAGGATACCATACAGGCAGTGCAGACTCTTACTTGAGTAGGAAGACACTGGAAGGACAGGGAAAACCTGTGAGAGATGGAAGCTAGGGCAGAATGCAGGCAATAATTATGATATTTGTACTAGTAAAGGTCTCAAGAACTCTTCTTCTAGTTTCCAGCTGAATAGGAAGAATGAGGATGCTCAGCAATAGCCATATAGAAGACTCCGGGATTTTGCAAGTTTAACATACACAGTTTTGGTCATTTGTAAGTGGTCCCCAAAATCCCTGATGTATCTAATTTTTAGTTTTGCTGAAATAAACATCGTAAAGCAGTGTTAGGTCTGTCGTTCAAAAGTGAGTCACGTAGCTGGTACATTGCACCCAAATCTCAGTGCTCCTTCACAGCTGTTGAGTGACATGATAGTAACTCAGATAATGGGCTCTAAAGGAGTCACTTAGAATTTTACAGTTGTACTTACAGGAGCAATTATACGATGTAGTGGTTTCTTCATGTTATGGTCTCCCAAAGTCCCTAGAACATATGCCTGCCGAATGTCAAAAATCTAATAGCCCATCAACACTTGGTGGTTTCTCACGTATATTCCACAGTTGTTTTATAAAGGGACTGTCGCTGTTGGAGGGGTGTCTGTAAGTCAGTCTACAACACTCATCCAAGGAATTTGCAGTTGAGACTACAAGGGTAAAAATGGCACTGGCAAAAACAAGTATGCTATTACTTGGCTGATGTGTTTGAGGACTAGATAGGCATCTGGTCTAATAGTCTAACTATACTATTAGTATGTATTCACTCAACAAATTTTATTAGTACCTGCTATGTACCAGGCATAATGCATCAGTGAGCACTTTCCCAAACCTAACAATGAATTGGAGTCCAGGTCACTCAGTCTAGGAGGTTTTAAACAGCAAATGTTCCTTTGAGGGATAAACTATTTTAGTAGAAAATATTATTAGGCTATAGGATACAAATCCTGCTAGAGTTTATGAAACCACAAGATATAACAATGAGTTGATCCATATGAATTCTCAAGAAGAATTTTTACCCAAAGTTTGATAATGGGCACAGGAGACACAAATGCCCTTCCCAGCATCCTACATATTCGTCTTTAACCATATAGTTGGCTCATGCCAGAGGAGACCCAGAGGCAACAGGAATCTGTCCCAAAAAAAGGGAAAAGTATTATAAAACCCCAGAGGTCAATGGCGCAGCCACTGTGGAAAACACTTTGGCAGTTCCTCAAAAAATTTATCAAAAAGATAAACAGAGTTACCACATAACCCAGGAATCCTACTCCTAGGACTACACCTAACAGAATGTAAAAACACACACAATGTTCACAGCAACATTATTCATGATATCCAAAAGGTGGAGTCCACTCAAATGTCTATCAACTGATGAATGGATAGGCAAAATGTGGTCTATCCATACAACGCAATATTATTTGACCATAAAACTGATTGAACTATTGATTCATGCTACAGGGAGGGTGAAACTTTAAAATATTATGGTAAGTGAAAGAAGCCAGTCACAAAATGCCACATATTGTATTATTGCTTTTATATGAGATGTCTACAATAGGCAAATCTATAAAGACAAAAAGTAGATTGGTGGTTGAAGAGCCTGGGGTATGGGGAGTGATAACTGACTGCTGATGGGTAAAGGTTTCTTTCTAGGGCGATGGAAATGGTCTGCAAATTATATTGTGGTGAAAGTTGCACAACTTTGTGAATACATCAAAAAAACAATGAATTGTATACTTTAAGAAGGTGAATTTTATGGCATATAAATCATAACTCAATATTTTTTAAAGGCCCACAGATTAGAACAGCATAGTATAGTCAGGTAACTGGAAAACATATTGACAGCTGGGGCAAAAGTAAAGACAGGAAGGATTGTGAGAAAAGATGAGGCTTGAAAGATCACCAGAGTCTTTATCATGAAAAGCCTTGTAAGGCCTAAGAACCAAGGAAACAATGGGAACCACTAGGACAATGGGAACCACTAGAGTAATTTAAACATGGTTGTGAGGTCAACCAGATTCGTGTTTGTGAAAGACCAATTTGGCTGTATTGTGGGACATGGAATGACGAGGGACAGACTGGAGGCAGAGTCCAGTGACGGGTGATCTAGGCAAGAGACAGGGGTCTCCTGAACTAAGAAGGAAGTGCGGAAGATATATTCAAAAGACGGATAATTAACAGAACTTGGCAAGGCATTAGATGTGTGAGCTGAAGCAAAAAGAAGAGTCTTTAAGTAGCTGAGTTGATCCCTATCCCATGGAGAATACTCTACTGGGTAGGTATATCCCTCCATGGGATAGATATTCTCCATGGGACAGGGGAAAAGGGAATGCCCATTTTAGCAACAAAGGAAGAAGATGAAGTTTAGGGACAATTATGGAATTCAGACCAAGGAGAGATTTTAAATAGGTAGTTGAATAACTGGGACTTAAGGTGAGAGATATAGGATGCATATTTCTATTAGGGAATACACACGTGCGCGCGCACACACACACATCACTTTGTCCATATAGAATACATAATTGTTGAATGAACGACTACATAAATAACAAAGTGAATCTATGATGTGCTTATTAATGTTGATGCCCGGCCTGCTTGCACTCAGTTTTCATCTCAGCCCAAATTTACATGAAGTTACACTTCACACACACACACACACATATCCACACACACAAAGCCTTCAATGAGGGGGCAGGTGCAGTGACTCACACCTGTAATTCCAGCGCTTTGGGAGGCCAAGGTGGAAGGATCACTTGAGGTCAGGAGTTCGATACCAGCCTGGCCAACATGGAAAAACCCCGTATCTACAAAAACTACAAAACTTAGCCAGGCAGTGGTGGCCACACCTGTTATTCCAGCTACTTGGGAGGCTGAGGCATGAGAAGAAGGTTGCAGGGAGCTGAGATTGCACCACTGCTCTCCAGCCTAGGTGACAGAGCAAGACTCTGTCTCAAAAAAAAAAAAAAAAAAAAAAAAAAACCTTCAACCAGATTTACGTATTTACACATCCACTATTTATTGTATAACTAGAAAAAAAGCTTTACTAAACCAGCAGAAAGAAGAAGATGTACCCTTATAAGTGGTAGAAGCCTCTTCTCTTCAAATACCTGACAATTTAAACTAGAATATATTAAATTAGGGAATTCAGACAAAGGAAAAAAGGGGACCTGCTAGGTACACAATGTCCTTGAAGCAAATTTAAAAAATGCCAAATGTATAGAAAAGATAGAACCAAAATGTGAGAAAGAAAAACCACATGACTAGAAATAACAAAATAAAAACTAGAAAAGAACTAACTAAAAAGCAATCTATAGATTCAACACTATCCTATCAAATTACCAATGTCATTTTTTACAGAATTAGAAAAAATGATTCTAAGATTCATATGAAACCAAAAAAGAGTCTGAATAGCTAAAGCAATCCTAAGCAAGAAGAACAAGCCAGGCATGGTGCCTGACGCCTGCAATCTCAGCACTACTGGGAGGCCGAGGCAGGAGGATCACTTGAGGTCAGGAGTTCAAGACAAGCCTGGGCAACACAGTGAGATCCCATCTCTACAAAAAAAAAAGTTTTAAATTAACCAGGTGTGGTAATGCACACCTGTAGTCCCAGCTACTCAGGAGACTGAGGCAGGAGGATCACTTGAGCCCAGGAGGTCAAGGCTGTGGTGAGCTGTTATGGTGCCATTGCACTCCAGACAGCGTGACACAGCAAGACCCTGTCTCAAAAACAAAATACAACAAAAGAACAAGGCCAGTGGGCATCACATTACCCAACTTAAAACTATGTTACAAGGCTACAATAACCAAAACCACATAGCACTAGTATAAAAACAGACACATAGACCAATGAAACAGAAGAGAGAATCCAGAAATAATGATGCACACCTACAGCCATCTGATCTTTGACAAAGTTGACCAAAAAAAAATGGGGAAAGGACTCCTTATCCAATAAATGGGGCTAAGATAACTGGCTAGTCATATGCAGAAGAATGAAACTGGATACCCCACAAAATACAAAAATTAATTCAGGATAGATTAAAGGTTTAAGACCTAAAACTATAAAAATCCTAGAAGAAAACCTAGGAAGTACCATTCTAGACATCGACCTTGGTAAAGAATTTATGATTAAATCCCCGAAAGCAATTGCCACAAAAGTAAAAAATGGACAAGTGGGATGTAATTAAAATAAAGAACTTTTGCACAGCAAAAGAAACTATCAAGTAAACAGATAACTCACAGAATGGGAGAAAATATTTGCAAACTATGTATCTGACAAAGGTCTAATATCCAGAATCTATAAAGAAAACAACAATTCAACAAGAAAAAACAACCCCATTAAAAAGTGGGCAAAGGACATGAACAAACAATTCTCAAAAAAAGAAATACAAGTGGCCAACAAACATATGAAAAAATGTTCAACATCACACGTCATCAGAGAAATGCAATTCAAAACCACAATGAGATACCACCTCACACCAGTAAAAATGGGTGTTATTTAAAAGACTAAAGACAACAGATGCTGGCAAGGTTGCAGAAAAAAGGGAATGCTTATACACTGTTAATGTGGGAACATAAAGTAGTTCAACCACTGTGGAATGCAGTTTGGAGAGTTCTCAGGGAACTTAGAACAACTACCATTTGACCCAACAATCCCATTACTGGGTATATACCCAAAAGAAAATAAGTCATTCTACAAAAAAGGCACATGCACTTGTATGCTCATTGCCATGCTATCCACAATAGCAAAGACATGGAATCAACCTAGATGTCCATCGATGGTGGATTAGATAAAGAAAATGTGGTATATATACACCATGGAATATTAGATGGCCATAAAAAATGAAATCATGTCCTTTGCAGTAATGTGGATGCAGCTGGTGGCCATAATACTAAGCAAATTAATGCGGAAACAGAAAACCAAGCATGTTCTCACTTACAAGTGGGAGCTAAACATTGGTATATATGGACATAAAAATAGGAACAATAGACACTGAAGACTCCTAGAGGAAAGAGGGGGACAAAGGCTGAAAAACTACTGTTGGGTACTATGCTCACTACTTGGATGATGGGATCATTCATATCCCAAACCTCAGTGTCACACAATATAACCATGTAACACACCTGCACATGCACCCTCTGAATCTAAAATAAAAGCTGAAATTATTTTTAAAAATGAAATAAAGTATCCATAATACTCAAAGCAATATACAGACTCAAATGTAATCCCTATCAAAATATCAATGAAATTTTCACAGAAATAGAAAAAGCAATCCTAAAATTTGCATGTAACTACAGAAGATTCTGAATAGCCAAAGCAATCTTAAGCATGAAGAACAAAGGTGGAGGCATCACAGTAACTGACATGAAAATATACTTTGAAGTTGTAGTAACTAAAAGTGTGCCATTGGCATAAAAACAGACACACAGACCAATAAAACAGCATGAAGCACCCAGAAAAAAATCCACACATTTACAGCCAGCTGATTTTTGACAAAAACGCCAAGAACATACAATGGGGAAAGTATAGTCTCTTTAATAAACGGTGCTGGGGAAACTGGATATCCACATGCAGAACAATGAAATTAGACCTGTATTTCTTACCACACACAAAAATCGACTCATAATGAATTAAAGACTTAAACGGAAGAACCAAAACTATGGAACTACTAGAAGAAAACATAGAGGAAAAACTCCATGACATAAATCTAGGCAACAATTTCTGTACAGGACCTCAAAAGCACAGTCAACAAAAGCAAGAAAAAAAAAAAAGACAAATGGGATTACATCAAACTAAAAAGCTTCTGCACAGAAAAAAAAAATCAACAGAGTGAAAGGCAACCTACAGAATGGGAAAATACATTTGCAAACTATACATCTGACATGGGGTTTATATCCAAAATATATAAGAAACTCAAACAACTCAATAGCAAAAAAACAAATACTCTGATGATTAAAAAATAACCGAATGACTTATTTAGGCCAAGGACCTAAACAGACATTTCTCAAAAGAAGACATAGAAACGGCCAAAAGGTATGTGACAAATGTTAACCTCACTAATCATTAAAAAAGGCAAATCAAACTTACAATGAGACATCATCTAACTGTAGTTAGAATGATTATTATTAAAAAGTCAAAAGATAACAAGTGTTGGTGAGGATGTAGAGAAAAGAGAACCCTTATATACTGCTAGAGGGAATATGAATTAGTACAGCCACTAGGGAAAACAGTGTGGTTCCTCAAAAAATTAAAAATAGAACTACCATATGATCCAACAATCCCCCTACTAGATATATATCTGAAGAAAATAAAATCAGTATGCCAGAGATATCTGCATTCCCATGTTTACTGCAGTATTATTCACAATAATCAAGATATGAAATCAACGTAAGTGCTCATCAAAGGATGAATGGATAAAGAAAATGTGATAGATACGCACAAACATACACACACGCGCGCGCACACATTTGAATACTATTCAGCTACAACAAAGAATGAAATCCTGCCATTTGCAACAACATGGACAAACTTAGAAGGACATTGTGTTTAGTGGAATAAACTGGAAACAGAAAAACAAATACATAATCACACTCATGGAATTTTAAAAGTTGAGCTCATAGGAGTACAGATCAGATACCGATTATAAGAAGTAGGGGAGGAGAGGGAGGAAAGGCAATAGAGAGAAGTTAAAGAGGAGGTATGATGTTACAGTTATTGACAGGGTTTGGCTGTGTCCACACCCAAAATCTCATCTTGAATTGTAGATGTCCCCATAATCCCTATGTGTCAAAGGAGAGACCAGGTGGAAGGAACTGAATCATGGGGTCAGTTCCCCCATGCTGTTCTCATGATAGTGGGTGAGTTCTCATGAGATCTGATGGTTTTAACATGTGTGGCAGTTCCTCCTGTGTTCATTCTCCTTGCCGCCTTGTGAAGAAGATGGCTTGCTTCCCCTTCACCTTCTGCCATGACTGTAAGTTTCCTGAGGCCTCCCCAGCCATGCTGAACCGTGAGTCAATTAAAGCTCTTTCCTTTGTAAATTACCCAGTCTCAGTCAGTTCTTTATAACTGTATGAATATGGGCTAATACAGTAATATAGGAGAAATAAATTACGGTTTTCTAACGCACAGTAGAGTGCTTATAGTTTATAATAATGTATTACATATTTCAAAAAGTTAGAAGAGAGGAATTTGAATATCCTCACCAAAAAGAACTGATAAATGTTTGAGGTGAGAGAAATGCTGATTACTCTGGTTTTATCAGTATATAATGTATCTATGTATTGAAATATCACACTGTACCCTAAAAATATGTAAAATCACTACATGTCAATCAAAAATAAAGTAAGTTTATACAATAAATTCTAGTCCATATGTTATCCAAAATTTCAGGAAAGAAATGCTTCAATGGCCCAAATTCAAAATTAAAATGGCTTAATTAACAAAAATTGTTTTAGTGTTGTTTAACTAATTTTGTTTAAAATCTGTTGGCTATGATAAGAAATCTAGAATATTAATTAAATTCAAGAGCTAGTCAAAATAATATTTTCTAAATAAAAACAATTTTATAGACCATAGACTTCCAGAAGAAAATATACCAAAACATGAACAGTAGCTATTTCTAAACAGCCTAGAATTTTAGTTATTTTTTATACTTTTCTGTATATTCTGTGAAATCTATTATAATTAAATATGTTACTTGGAAGCATAAACTTTTATATTTTCCATTACTATTTTATGTAGCTTACCTTTTTTTCCCAGTCATTATTTAGAGATTCTGTGCTTTGTTCACATATCTTTTTTAGTTCTGTAATCTGGTCTTCTTTAGTCTCTCTGATAACTTGACAGTCACGTATCAGTGTCTGAACTGTCGAAAATGATGAAAACATACTTAAACCAATTCTAGATACATAGAGTTTGATTATATAAAATTTAGTGCACCAATTAGTAGATAATTCAATTTTTCACCAAGTCTTCTCAATGCTTTCTTCTAAAGTATCTTTTATTCCTTGCTTTTTTTCTCGATTTCTACCACCACAGACTGGCTTGGTTAAATTCATCATTACTGGCTCCCTAGACAATTTTAACAGTGTATTGGCCTCAAGCATCATTCCCCTCCAAGGAGTCCTCTGTTGCTTTGAGGAAACCTTTCACCATTATTCTAAGTGAAGTAACTCGGGAATGGAAAACCAAATACCCTATGTTTTCACTTATAAGTGGAAGCTGAGCTATGGGTATGCAAAAGCATACAGAATTGTATAACGGACTTTGGAGATTCAGAAGCAGGGGGTGGAAAAGAGGGTGTGGGCTAAAAGGTACATATTGGATACAATGTACACTACTTGGGTGATGGGTACACTAAAGTCTCAGACTTCACCACTGTACAATGAATCCATGTAACCAAAAGCACTTGTACCCCAAAAGCTATTGAAATTTTTAAAATTTAAATAAATAAAGAGGCCTTTCATTGGTGCAAATCTGGTAGTTACGCCCAGGCTTACAAACGTTCCACAGCTCTCCTCATCTAAAAAATAAATACAGGTCAAAGCCTCTGACAAGGACAACAGTTCCTCGTGATTCTGGCCATATCTCTTCCCATTTGCATGTTTTAAACCAGTATTATAAACACACCAACCTATCTGCAGATTCCTGAGTTCATATTCTTTCTCATAGCACTGCCTAAATATGATTGTCTATCTACCTAGAATGCCCTTCCCTCCCTTATTGAAAAACTCCTACTCATCCTTAGACTCTCAACTCAAAAATCACACCTTCTTTATGAACCAGTCATAAAGAATCACTAAATCATGATTTACTCAACCAGATTTCTCCCCTTACAGGGACAGAAAGAAATTCCTCTTTATTCCCATGAAACCTCGAGTATTTCTCAATTAAATCACTTATTAACATTATAGTGATTTACTTGCCCGTTTCCTCTTTAATGAGACTATGTTCACGGAAGAGAAAGAGATTTCAACTTTTTATCCACAGGGCATAACAGTGCCACACAGGCAAGTGCTCAAAAAGATGCATACTGAATGAATAAATAAAGGAACCCCTCATTTCAATATATTGTTGCTGCTAGATACTTTTAAATCATTTTCGAAGTTTATGTTACTAAAATGAAATAGGTTTTAAATTAGATAAAATATTTGTCTTATAAATCATTTATGTTTCTACTTTACTATAATTATTTAAACAGTCACTGATTTAAGTGAAAATGTGTTAATATATTCATGTCTTCTGGATAGTAAAATAAATTCAGCTCCATTTTTAATTGAATATATTATCATAGTTTACTAAATACATTTTTATTCATTTACTTCAAGATAGCAAAATTTTTGTAAATATTTCCCTAAAAATTGTTTTCACTCTTATACCTCAACTACGCAACAATGAAGGAGACAAGATGAATCCAAGTTAACCTAAAGTGAGTCTTTACCATCTACAATATATTTTACTTTACACTTCCAAAATTAAACTAAGATCTGGTTGCAATTCAAAATGCCTTTAGAAACATTATTTTTAAAACCTCGTCATTTTTAAACCTTAGGCATGTTTGAATTGCCTATTTTGAATCAGGGTAAAGAAAACCTGGAAACAAATTTAAAATATTTTTCTAGCCACGGATAATATTTGGAGAAAAAACCTAAACGAATTTAGAATTGCTTTTACCAACATTTAAGGGTGGAAATGAATCTAAAAGTTTTTATTTCATTGGTTAACTTATCTATGTAATTGCTGTCCTAACTTGTCAAAGGCATTATCATCCATTCAAATATACTCAGGTTTGGTGAATTGGGGGAGAGCCAGTAAGTTCCATAGAGAAAATCCTAAATGAAAACCTTCCCTTCTCCTTTTCTCTTATTCATTGCCTAGATCTTCTCATTCACTAAATCACGATTCACTCTTCAAAATTTCTTCTTCGGTTCCATTCTAACTACTCCCAGTGCCATCATTCAGAAATCCTTCTCACCTTAACATGCAAAATTACAGCAGCACAGAAGCAGAACATCTCTGAGTTGGCAGGGACTTTATATATTATTTATTCTGATCTCACCATTTTATAATGAGTAAACCAAGGCCCAGAAACGACTTGCTATCATATATTGGACACTGATAACAGAGCTGAGATTAGAGCCTATGTTTTCTAATAAGTAGAATGCTCTCTCCCTCACTCCATTCTGCCTCTGCCTAACAGACTTGGAATTGGCCTACTCTGTTCAACACACCCTCCATTACCAGGCTACTCCTCCCAAAACATGAGGTCCTAAAACTCACATCTCAAAATCCTTCCCTGGCTCTTTACATCCAGCACCTACAGGACAAAGTTCAAGCTTCTAAATCTAAAATTCAAAGTCATACTTAATCTAGCCCCAAGTCAACTTTCTTAATATTTTAAAATCTATCTCTTAATGCATAGGGTATCCACTCTAGCTAAATATGGTGTTATTTTTCTCTTTCTTTTACCACATTACTTCCCTTAGAATAATGGTGAAAGGTTTCCTCAAAGCAATAGAGGACTCCTTGGAGGGGAATGATGCTTGAGAAGTACCCTTCCTACAACTTACCTATTTCAGCATTCTCATCCCAGTAACTGCAACTCTTCTCTCCAACTAACCAAGACTTTTAAAACTTCACAAGATTTTACAAAAGTTCCTTTCCTGAAACAATATTTTCAACACTCTCTCTCATGACCACCTATTGATGTAGATATTTCAACCCATAGTCATAGTCAACTAGGGTCAGAGTTAGCTCAAGCAGTTACCTCCTCATGCCGGACTTTCCATCTGTCCATAGTCAACTTAATACTTGATTACATGCTTTCTTTTTCTTCTTAATAAAAGTGCAAATAGGAAATACTTTTTAATTTTTCTGTCAATCACAATACCAGCATATACTATCAGACATAAATGTAGATACTTAATGTAATGAATTTTACTAGATAAAGAAGAATAATTTCCTTTGACTTCCTCATGAATGCCTGTAAGTCCTAATTCTATGACTGCCCTCAATACTCTATGGCAGCTGTATCCCAGTGAGGCTAGAGTTAAGAAGAGGGAGTGAAAGCAACACACTCTTCCAACTCCGTATCTAAACCAACCACCATTACTACCCCATCACTGTCACTACACAAACACACAGAGACACACACACAAACACAGTTTTTGTCCCTTCATATGGAAGCCTACATAAATTTATACATTGATGAAAGCCCACATAAACATTCCTACCTCATACTATAAAAGGTCAGAAATAAAATTTTATTCTCCACATCGCTAAAATAAAATGGAAATGTTATTAAAAGATGTATGTAACAACACAACATCACCTTTCTTTTCAAGCTTTCTAATAGTCTCTTCAGTTTCATGTTGTTTACTCCTGTATAAAGTTTTCAGTTCCTCTATTTCATTATTCTTTCTTTCTAAAATCTGCAAATAAATTTAAAATGTTTCAGTATACTGTATTACTTTACATATAGGACAATTTTTTGAATCCTGATATATTTAATTCTAAAACATAAATAGAAAAAGTGATTGTAGCAAATATGACTACACTGTGAAATTATATATATATACACACACACACATAAAGTAGTATCTCTTATCCATGGTTTTACTTTCTGCTGTTTCAGTTAGATGTGTGTGTTTTTGTGCATGTCCATGTTAATAATTCTAGCTTAGTCAGAAGTTCACATTTTGCTCTTGCAGCAGCTAGGAGGTAAAATCTATATGATCTGCCACACTTGGAAGCTTCCAAGTTGCCTGAAATTGTGAGATTTCCCTCCTTTTGACTAGTGAATATTGCCACAAATTGGCATTGTAGTGATTTAAGTGACTTTTTAAATTGATTCTCAAATGTCAGTGTTTTGTAAATTAGGGAGAAGTGTTTTGTCCTGAAAGGGAGTTAGGGATTCTTTTTCTCAGATTAGCATAAAAATAGGTGAAATTGTATGTGTCTAATATTTCTCTTCACATATTTTTCTTACACTTATGTTATCTACTGTTGTTTATCTGCTAGCAAATGCCAGCAGATAATAAGTGAACGGTGAATTAGCAGGTAGATATTAATAGAAACTCACAAAGAACCAATCATATAACTTTTCAATGAGCATAATATTTTTGTAAGTCTACCTCAGCTAATCTAATAAATGGTTTTCCCCAAACTGTAAAAATTATATTATAGTGCATTAAGAAAATTATTAAATAGATAAGAATAATTGGTTATCTGAAAGAAATACGTTATCTGTTGGAGATTTTCATACAATAATTTGTTAAGGACAGTATAAATAATAATTTAGGTGATTTCCTAAAATATAATTCAGAAATTAAGCTGTCATAAAATGGCAGAGAGAAGCCATCAGAAATTTGCCAGGTGGGGAGAGTATAATTTATCACACTGCACTGGAATAGAACATTCTTCAGCTGGGCATGTCCCTGGATCCGCCTACAAGCACCCTTCTATCCTCATAGTGCACAGTAAAAGAATTCCCAGATACATGAAGAGATGACATGTAATCGGCCTCTTTTATATCTAGCTCTGCTACTGTGAATCAGAAAAATCAGCTCAAAATATGTCAAAAATTGCATTAAAATCTATTGTGAATTTATATTATGTCAGAAGTTTTAAATGTAATCATTTAATAAAATTTAATTGTGATTTTATACTTCAAAATACTTTATACTCACAAAAACTACAGAAATAACCAAAATGTAAAAAAGATAGTAAGTAAGAGAAAATGCTAATCAAGGGGAAAAAGGAATATCTACTTTTCTTATGGTTGGGTCATATTTTCCATACACCCAAAAGTCAGCTTAACAACAACAACAAAAAAGAACGGGGTACAGTAGTACATGCCTATAGTCAGCTACTCAGGAGGCTTACAGATCGCTTGAGCCCAAGAATTCAAGGCTGAAGTGAGCCACGATCATGCCTGTGAATAGCCACTGTTCTCTTCCAGCTTGGGCAACATAGCAAGATCCCATCTCTGGATAATAATATCCATAAAGAAGTAAAAAAGAAAAAGAATGTATACTAATAGGTAAAACACTCCAAATTTTACACCTCGCCAATTCCTGATGCTTAGAAAATGCCAGACAAGCAATAAACTGATGAATATACTTTTCAAATCTAGCATAAAGTCAAGGATTTTATTTATATTTTACCTGGTACTTCAAACTAGTTGCATTGTCTTCTGCAAATAAATTTCAGGATTTATTTTAAAGAGAAATTTCTGGAAAGAATTTTATTATTAAATATGTTACTTAGAATAAATCTTTGTAACAGACATACCAAGAAACTTATTTCAAATTCCATCCCCATAATTTTTCCAAATAAATTTTTATATTCATTTATCTTATACATCAATAGACTCTATTTCAATTGTACATGTTATATTGAAATTATATTACTGATTCTCTAACATACTTATGATAGAGAACTTATTATCTAAACAATTTAAACTAAAGTAAAACTCTAGTAAGAGCAAAAAAATATTTGCCTGTAATGTCTGAATGGGCGAGAGGAAACTGGAAAAAGAGAGTTCAGTTTTTTTTCTCTAATATCCAATCAGTGGTTTCCTCCTTATTGCTTTGAAGGATGAGCCAAATATGCATTTTACTAAATATTAATATATATATTAACCTTTTTAAAAAGCTTGGATACATAATCCTGATGTTATAACTACTGCAACTACCTGCCTCTGTCTCTAGTACTCAGTTTTGGGAAGCAGAATCATAGTCTTAGCTTCGAAACAGTAAATGCAAAGTTTCCATTTGGATCAACCTTCATGTATTTTGAAAAAACACATACATACATTATTATCACTAAATGTTTTAATCATTACTAAAATATAGTAACAACCCAAATCCCATGTAGGATAACCATAATTAAAGATTTTTGCTGTGCCAGCTAAGAAAAAAGAATTTTATTTGAAAATACAGGCTGAAAGATTAGAAAGCATCAATCCCAATGAGCTACTTAAAAAACAAGGCTTTATTGTCAGTGCCAGCATTAAAATGCATGCAAGTCCAAGAGTTCCTTTTTAATTAAAAAGGAAATTCAATTACCAGAAAACCAAAAGAATACTACAATAAAACAAATCCTAGTATTTACCACTGATGTGTTATTTCAACTTTCATGAAACATAATGATAGAATGCAGATAAAAGACTATAAGAAGATCAGCCTAAATGCAATAGTTAAGAAGAACTAAAAGGTAATGTAAATATAAGGTTTTAAATAAACACATATGTTTAGCTAATAAAGTTAAAAAATCAACTTTTGCTGGGATATTAGTTTAGCATATTCCATTTTATAACAGAATGTTATAAAGTACATAAATAAGTGGATGGATTGACAGACGGATGGATGGATGGATGGATGGATGGATGGATGGATGGATGGATAACTGGATGGATCATCATAAGACCTAGAATATTTTTAGTATTCAATATAATTAAAATAATAAAAGATATATATCCTACCTTCTGAACATCAGCATCATGTTTCTGTTGCAGCCTAAGCTTTTCTTCATGAAATTTAGCTTCCATCATTTTTGTTTTCATGTCCAACTTCAAGAAAAATATTTCAAAGGTGTGTTAATTTACCTTCCCTTTGGCAAAAAATACACAATTAAATTAAAATAATTCCCTAAAAGAGGACAGTTATCGTTTTCCACCTTTACCTTGTAGTCACAGATTCTAGCAATCACATTACATATACCAATATGTTTACTTCAGTCCTCTAATTACTTTCAAGCTAATTAAAAGTCTTTAAAATAACTTTCACCTAATAGGCAAAACAGACAATACTAAGTACAGATTCACTACTCTCCCCATTCTCTCCCGCACAAAAGAAAAAGGCATTTTAAAGTGACATTTTGCTTTTACATTTAAATCCACACAGTATTTTGCTCTTCATTATTTTTCATTTCAGTAAGTCTCTTCCAACCTTTTATTTTTTTCCTTTGGTCTACTTGCTCATTTTAAAATACTCTAATTAACCTACATATGTAAATATAACTTGAGAATGAATATCCATAAAAATGGCAAATTACTGATAAGTGCGTATCTTTTGACAGTTTTCCAGCTCTCTCTCCCAGAATCACAGACTCCAGCTCCCTCAAGGGAGTAACTTTATCTCCTTTCAAGCATTCCTTAACTTCTATCCTCTCCAAACCAACACCACGTGCAATGGTGCTCTGAGCAAAGCCAAAAATGTAACCAATCTTGTTAATAATAAGAAGTGTATCCTAGAATTAAAAGAGCAGTAGTGACAGGTTTCAAGAAGTGCAACATAAAATTGATTATCTCAAATGTGAAAGTATTTGGCCACATGATTTCTCATAATTTAAGACAGTATCATACATTGAAGTCTGGCAGACCTCTTTTCCGGCTCTAATTCCAATCCCACCATATATTCACTGTTGCGACTTTGAGCAAGTGATCCTTTGACACTCTAGTTCCTCTTCTGCTAATTAAGAAAAAGTATCTTTACCTCAATGGATTGTGAAAATTACATTCAATAAAATAATTTAAATGACCATGCCCAGGACAGTGTGTGGCACAAAGTAAGTATGCAAAAATATCAATCAACAACATTTAGGAAAAAAATTTTAATATTATTAATGTATCTTCAAAATGTTTCCTTGAAAATTTTTGAAACACACTTTATATTTTCAATTACTGTTTCAAATACAAAATAATATAAATTTAGCAAGATAAACATGCATATCATATTAACATATCAAACTGAGATTTTATAGTTCACAAACAAAAGTTAACATAAAACAAATTCATGACTTGAATGTTATGAATGGTGGAGAAAGAGACAGTTATCTACTCACTATGCAAAAAAAAAAAAAAAATCAATTCCCTTGCCTCTAAATCACACAATATTTCTTCTTCCTTTTTGCAGAAAGGAGGCTGGACAACCAAATTCCATGCAAAGATTCTTCACAGAAGCACTTTTGGGATCTACTAAAAGGGAACTAAAGCCAAAAGACAATATGACAAAGCTGGCCAGGTCTAAGAGACATGATTCATTGCCAGATCTTTCCATAACACCTTCTAGAGAACTTGTCATACCTCAGCTTCTGAAGGTAAGCCCTAAATATCATGTGAGTGTGCTACCATAACCCCAACCCAACACCTCTCACCGGCCCCACCTCATTATTTATTGAGCAAGTTAGGAATAAATACCTGAGACATGCTTAAGCAATCCATTAGCTAGCAAACAATCATTCAGATTCTCTCCCAAGAATCTAAACTAACACACCAAGTTAGCTATTTTGGGGAGCAAACCCAAGTTCTAAAGTGCAGCAACCAAGAGAAAAGCAGGCGAATCCAGTATATAGAAAAAAGTAGAGCAAATACACAAAAAAAGCAAAGATTAGAAACCACATAGCATCTGGATATGAGGAAAGTAAACTCAGGCTCCAGTGATCTCAATGACACCAGGGTTAGTTGAACTCAAAAGGATTTTTGTGTCTCTTTTTATTTTATGTAGCTTGATGGATCTCTGTTCTTACAACCAAAGATATTTCTCTAAATTCTATTCTTCTGGCTATAACTTTTTGCCTTGGTATAATACTAAACTTACAGAAAAGTTGCAATAATAGCACAAGGAACTCCCATATACCCTTTCTTTACCTGGATTTACCAATTTTTTTATATTTTGCCCTATATGCTTTGTCATTTTATGTCTGTACCTACCTCTACAAATATATATATAAATACACGCATATTACTTCCTCAATCATTTGTAAATTAGAAGCATCATGCCTCTTTATCCCTAAAAACTTCAATATATATTTCCTTAGAACAAGAACACTGTCTTTGATAACCAAAGTGCAGTTATCAAATTGAGGAAATGTAATATTAACACAATATTATCTACTGCACAGTTTATACTCAAGTTTTACAAATTATCACAGTAATGTCATTTATAGCTATTATTTTTCTCAATCCAGGATCCAACCCGGAATCACGCATTGCTTTTAGTTGTCACATCAACTATTTATTTCTCCTTTAATCTGGAACAGCCTTTCTTTGTGTTTAGTGACCTTGACATTTTTTAAGAGTACAGACCATTATTAAATGTCTCTCCATTTGGATTTGTCTGATGTTTCCCTCATGACTAAATTTATGAGATTTTGGCAAGAATGACACTAAAGTGATACTGTGTCCTTTTTCATTGCATCGTATTAGAAGGAGGCTAGTTTGGCCCAATATCTCCAATGTACAACTCAGTAACTTGGTTAAGATAGTGAGCACCAACTGCCATCCTTTTAAAAAGGTAAGAGTATCTCATCTCTGGAAACTCTTACCTTGATGCTACAGAATAGCTCTGTATTTCCACCCTGTACTCTAGGATAGAAATCCTAAATGTATTATGGACAACTAGGGCATGATGCCTGATAAAACATCAGGATTAGAATATGGAAACAATCTTATTACTATAGTATATAAAGACAATATAAGGATACAGATTTAGATATAGATGTAGATATAAAAATAGATATGTACCTATGTGTTCATCTATATAGACTGAAATTGAAAAACATTTCTAATTAGTTTGACCTCCAAGGAAGCCTGACTTCAAAAAACATTTAAGTTTTCTTTTTCTGAGATCAGAATATACATTATCAATTTCAAATTTAAGATGTAAAAATTAGGCTTGCAGATCTACTTCAGGCTATAATGAAGTAGGGTACCACACTAACCTCCCACTGTTAACCATAAAATGGGATAAAATACATGAGATAACCATTCTCAAGGATTGGACAACAGGCAATGCAGTACTGTGATCCTCACAAACTGAAGCCCACGATAGTCCCAGCTTTCTGCCTGGGTACAACAACTGGAGTCCACGTAGAGCACCACAGGCCTCCTGAGCTGAGAAGGTAGAGGTCAGAGTTCAGGGCAGTTAAAGAATCTTAAATGCAGGGCACTAGAGAGATATAAGCTGCCCAGAAGATTTCCCTGTCACTCCTCAACCACAGGCTAAAGGCTGGGATGTGTGCGCCCTAGGTGAATAACAAAACATTACTGCTACAAAGTAGAAAATGTAACAGCTGCTACAGGTTAAAGTGCTGGGAGGCTCCAAAGACCTGCCCAGCCAGGTGGAGACAGCTTCTTAATTTGCAAATACCTGGCAATTCAGCTGAAATAACATAAAGGCCACACCTCTGGACTACTCTAAACCTGCCTCCAAGGACTGAAAGCAAGCCTCAGAAAGCTAGTTTGTAACACAGGTCCCATGGGGTTGGATAATATCTTTGGCTTTCTATGTATTTGCCTTAACAGAATGTAAAAACCAAGTCTACACAACTTAAAGGTGATTAACTACTAATTGAACAGCCTATAAGAACAACAACAACAAAAATATTCTATGGAAAAAAATAACAGAATCCAGAGTCCCTACAAGGTAACAACCGCAAGGTCCATTGTCTAGAAAGTAATAAAGATGCACCAAAAAAAATAAAAAAGAAAAGAAAATTTTGTCCATAGGCAAAATCAATATAAATAAATTAAATAATAAGGCCCAAGATGACCCTACTTCAGCACACAAGAGTTTAAAGAAGTTCACATAAATACTTTCAAAGAACTAAAGGAAAACATATTTAAAAATTAAAGAAAAATATTATTTCAATGAGAGAACGGATAGGGGATCTCAGCAGATAAATGGAAATTATAAAATTGAAACAAATGAAAATTCCAGAATTGAAAAGTGCAATAATTCAAAGGAACAAAAATTCACTAGATGAGCTTAACAGATTAGAGAGAGCAGATAAAGGAGTCTATAAATTTGATGACAGAACTACAGAAATTCTCTGAGAGAAAAAAGATTGAAGAATTTATTTTTAAAAATCAGTAACACTTTTGGAAACTGTGAAACAAAATCCAAGAGTCTAATATACATGGAATTGGGGTTCCTACAAAAGCAAGTAAGAATAGGGAAATACTATTTAAAGAAATAATAGCCAAAAATTTCCCAGGTTTGATAAAACAAAAAAATACTGAGTTAGAGAACGAGATGCTCAATGAACTCTATGCAGGATAAATGCAAGAAAACAGCACCTGGAAACATCACAAACTGTTGAAAACCAAAAACAAAAAGAAAAATCTTGGCCGGGTGTGGTGGCTCACGCCTGTAATCCCAGCACTTTGGGAGGCCAAGGTGAGCAGATCATGAGGTCAGGAGTTCAAGACCATCTTGGCCAACATGGTGAAACCCCCGTCTCTATTAAAAATACAAAAATTAGCTGAGTGTGGTGGCATGTGCCTGTAGTCCCCACTACTTGGGAGACTGAGGCAGGGGAATCACTTGAACCTAGGAGGCGGAGGTTGCAGTGAGCCAAGATCGCGCCACTGCACTCAAGCCTAGTGACAGAGTGAGGCTCTGTCTAAAAAAGAAAAAGAAAAATCTTAAAAGCAGTCAGAGCAAAAGAGGCATTACATTCAGAGAAACAACAAGCTCTCCAGCAGAAACAATAGAAACTGGAGGACAAAGGAATAATATCTTAGAAGTGCTAAAAGAAAAATTCAGATAAAATTCAGATGACATATCA